ATATATATATATATATATATATATATATATATATATATATATATATATCGGTCTTCTATATGCAAAGCGCGCGGAATACGTTTATGGAAACGAGAAATTTATTTTGATATGATGTACAAAGGAATGTATATTTAAACCTTTCACGTCTCTCGCGTTCGCGTCCAGGCCGGAAGATTAAACCGCCCTCCAATTTCATACCGACCGAAAATTGCAATAGCTCTCATTCCCCGTTGAATTATATGACGAGCCCTCCGGTCGTAAGCACTTATTGGGAGAAAAAAAAGGTCGCTATACACGTCTATTCCGGGTAGAGGGACTCCAATTTCTCGAAAAGTGTTTGTCAAACTTATGTTATATTCGCTGCTCTCGGGCGACACATCGGTACGTTTCTCGACGTTAAGGTTACACGATGAAACGACGATAAATTTCTATCGCGATATGTGCGTATATGTGCGGTTTCTCATCGAGACTTTGGAGAAGGAACGTTTCCGAGTTCCTCGGATAGTGGTAGACGTATTCGCGTACGTGCCGCGAAGGCATTCAACAACGACGGGAAAATAATGGGTCAAGAAATACTCGAGAAAGAATGTATCTCAGGCGACACCCAATATGTGGCTTCGCGGCTGCGGCCTCTCTTCCTCCCTCTCTTTCTAGGTAGAAAAATCAACCGTACTGAAAGTGCGAAAGCTGTTTCGCGCTCTACAAAAATTTAAATAAGATTCGAAGCAGGGAGCGAAAGCGTGTGCAATTCCGGAGATATTTGCCAGAGAACACACAAACGACCAACCCGTTCGCGTTATTCACGAAAGGAGCCGATATTACCTCGATGGTACGGCGCCGGGAGATTTATTCGCGGCATTTCGGCTTAAAATTACGCATTTCAATCGCAATGTTGCATTTAGCGCGAGCTCTGTATTTATTTCGCGTGTTGCATTTTAATAAATTCGCATATTTATTTTAAAATATTCCCTGCGTGGAAGAGATAATTTCTATATAAAGCGCACGCGTGCACGGTTAAATGCCAGTGTAACAAATGACTTTAAAGAGAATGTCCAATATATACTTTTGGGAAAAATGGAAACCGAAACGTTGTAAAGGATAATAATAACTGCGACAAATTGTTAAGCTCGATGGTAATGATTATTGCATGCTTCGTTGCGGGATTCTCGGCGTTTTTATGCGATATTGATTCACCCGCGGCTGGGGAAATTTCATTTAAATTACACGTTAGTTTGAAACTTTTGTTAACCGAAAAGTTAGCGCGTTACCGCGCCCGCCAGCAAGGTGATCCGGACTAATTCTTTTATCGTGAAAAAAGGAATACAGGAAAGCGTTTTACGAACTAACGCACTGTTCCCGTCGTATCGTCCGTCGTATTTAATTCCGCGCAAGACGTAGTGAACAAAATATTTTTCCCGCGTCACATTACACGCACATTAACGTACTCGCGCAGGTGTGTTTTGACGGCTTAATAGGAGCCCCTAAATCTTTCGACGCGCGCGCGCGACGCGAGAACAACACGGCGCGAATTGAATGCTTAATTACATCTCGCGCGAGCAGAAATCAGCACACCTTGCGGAATCCTCGCGGATCGACTCGCGGGACCATCTTGTCCCTAATATCTCGCCATTATTAATGCATTAATTAACGAATTAGACGGGGGAAAAATGACGCGAGGTAACGTGCGATAAGAGCGCCGACCCGGTTCTCACCGGCGCGAGTACCGGACGACACCGTGTATTATGCTTTGCATGTTTTGTTTCGCTTATTTTCATCCGGTAGATCAAGGCAATTGGTACCGCGGGCATTGTACAGAAAATGATTGCGCTTGGCCCAAAGCGATCCTTACATTACACAAAATGTTCATACTGAGACTGATGTGAAACGATTTTAACTTCGGTTATCCTACGGAGCGCCGTAATTGTGCAAAACAACAAAAAGCGAATGTATGCCCGGGGACCTCGGGGCTCTCTCGCTCGTCCGGCACACGTACATATGGAAATCTAATTTTAATGATAACAGATCGAGAAAGATTATCGCGTCTCTCTTATCTCCCCTACCTCACTCCGGAGTATTACCGTCTCCGGTGTTGGCCGGAGAGACTCGGAGATATCTCGCTTCGTAAATCCGTAAGAATGGCGAAACGCACGTTGCAAGAAATGTCGCGGTTGCAACGTGCGTTTTGCGAGTCCACATTCTCGTATTTTCGCCGTTGTCGCAATCTATTCGCCGTTTTTCTCGAACGCCAGCAGATTATTAGGAAGTGTCTATATATACACATGTACTCGCAATTATTTCGATTCTACCATCTCGTCCCGATATTATGCCCCGCGCGATATAATAAATTTCAATTTCAATCTCTCGCCGCGGATGGTACGTCGTACAATTTCCCGACGCACTTTCACGATTATCGTAACGACATGAAATATCTGGGNGGGGGGGGGGGGGGGGGAACCGCGCTCAGCACAGAAACCGTTCCCTTCCACCGCCGTGAGATTGTAGGACGTTCTTAATTAACATCCGCGTAATAAGGCAATCAAGGGGCTTACGTCCCGCTAACGTTTCCCTCTATTTCTCCTCGCGTAGAACGAAAAAGGAGACGCCGAGAAAAGAGGAGGAAGCGAAAAAAGAAAGGCGGTAAGGGCAACCATCGCGGACGTGGTAGCCCCGGGAGTCTGCGCGCATCCCGCGTGCATATACATAGTCGATGCTTCTCACTACAGTCTTTAGGTAGATACGATAACGATTCAATCTTACCTGGATTGCTGTCGGCGTTAGAGCTGAATAGGACGCAAAGGCCCGTCTCGTAGTTGACCGCCTGGCAGGAGTCGTTTGCCTGACAGGTCTCCAGGCAGTCGGTGAGCATCAACGTGCCTGGTATGGACTCGAGCATGTTCGTGGGCGCGGTGTACACGTAGCCGGTTACCAGCTCGAAGCCAACCATCTCGGGATCGCACTCGTCCGAACCCGCGGACGGGCCGGTATAGTCCGGCCCGGAGAAGCCGGACGGTACCGCGGACGACGGCGACAGGTCGACCGCGTGCGTCGATTCCGCGGTGACCGCGTGAACCGAGTGTCTCGAGGCGGTTTGCAGCAGCAACAGTATCGCGAGCAATTGCCGACGGTCGTACGGTCTCGTCATCGTAGTACTGTCTCGATCGAACGCTCAGGTCGCACTGAATGGTCGCGGACGCGTGGGTGATCTGTAACAGAACGAAAGGAGATTGTGAGATTTTCTCGTCCGGGGGAAATCCAAATCAAGATGCCGACGCTTGAAATTTGCCTTTCAAGCGCTGACCGTCGAAGGCGGAGTAATTCGATCGTACGGTGGAAAATGAGTCTATTTGGATTTGCCTGGCAGTGGGCAGCCACACTGCAAAGTTAACTATGTCATTTTAGCTGAGGCTTTCCTACCACATTTCTTGCCATTTTCACAAATCACGTCATTTAACGATTGGAGACGTGCTAATTTATAATTTAATACGATTAAACGTTTCAAATGACGTGACCTAAGACGGCAGAAAGAGTGTAAGAAGAGCTTTAGCCAAATGTGCCATTTTCGCACGTTTAGATTTGCAGTGCAAACGCGTCTCGGTTGAGGGGAGCCAAATTTCCGGTTATGAAAACAAAATTTAGTTTATGAGAATTAGAAATGCCGCTTCCTTCGGCCAAAATGTGCTTAGTTGTTCACCGCCAGACAGATGCAGCTAAATTCATTTTTCAGTGTATATTTAAGATCGTTAAAGTTCATCTTCAAATGCGTACAAACTTTATCTCATTGGCTAGAGATCATCTGAAGATCAACGATTAAAGCTACCTTAAATATATAAGACCTGACTTTACGTATAACCGGCTTTGGGTTTTATCGAGAAAATAGAGAAATATAAAGAAGTATATTTCTCGCGAGAAACTGACATTACCTCCCCCCCCCCCNCCCCCCCCCTCCCAGTCTCGGGAATGTGGCCTAGAATCCGGCGAATCATCGCGTCCTTCTTGAACTTTTTGGAATTATGCCTACGACGTCGAAGCATCCGAGTGCCTCTCACGTCGAGCAATTTCGCTTCAATATTTAATTAGCTTCCACGCTACGATATTGGCGAGATAAACTTGAGAGGAAAGCTGGAGAGGTAGGCGCAAAGAAATTGGAGCATATGAAATAGCTCCAGATAGCTCCAACGGGGTTACACTTATGAATGATAGCGGTTAATGATAGTGCTTTTCTCCGGAGTTAAACGCAAAATAAAGCCGGATTACGCACGGAATTAAACATCCCGGGCGTATTTCTTCGTCGTCGGGCAATTTCCTTCATTACTTAAGCGAGCGTCTCGGCGCTCTGACGAACTGGATAAAGAGGAATTAACGGAAGTCGAGATTAACGGGATGGAATGTATCGCCGTTGGTCAAGTGTCGCGCTGCTCTTGCTGGAAAACGGGAATTGGCGCGTCGGAAAACAAGATTCGTCCGCGCTAATAACGCGACCTGGCGAGGATGTTTTCGTAACGAGTCCCCCCAGTTTCTCCGCGGAGAGGCGCGATCACGACGGATCCGCCGAGTTTTTCGCAGTCAGCTTAATACAATAGAGTCAACTTCGTCGACAGGCGGTAACTGTAATCCGCCGACTCGCGCATAACTGCACGGGCGCGGGGACATTCTTATTGCGCGAGATCGCGGTATAAATTCCGCGGGGCGATTAAAATATTAAAAAGCGCGCAGCTCTCGAGCGGCGGCAATAAATAGCGAATCGTTCATATTTCCGTTATACCGGCGCCGCGCACACCGCGCAATAAATAACAAACAGCGCGGTGCGCGCATATGCGGGAATTTAAATCGCCGGATACTTTCGCGCACCACTATGACCCCGCGGAATCGAGAGGGAGATCCGCGCGCGGCAATCTGCGCGTACCCGGTTCCGCCGAAAATAGCGTCGAAATACAAGCATCGATTTCGAGTCCGCTCCGTACGTACACGCAACAGCGGCGGCAGCACGTTAAAATAATTACACCGATGTACACTATATTGGGCGAAAAGCTTTCGGCCGGAATACCGGAGCGAAACATACCTGGTACAGCGCAGCGGCGCTGAACACGGTCGGACGAAGGTCGATCGATGTGTGTATCGCCGTCGAAATTTGCAGGGATCGCCGGTTGGCGCGATATTGCACGCTGCAATTCGGCTTTCTATCCCGCACTGTTGCGCCGCGCGCGAAGGCGAATTCCACGGGCACCTTTCTCACGGGATCGCCGCGACGAGAAAGAGAGAGAGAGAGAATGGCTGTTAGCGCACAATGCTGAAACGGTACACACAAACGTGGGCCAACCGGCGATCCTCCTCGGTGGTGCGACTGCCGGTGCGCCGTTGGAGCAGGAGTAAGAAGAAGAAGAAGCGGAGGAGGAAGAGAAGACCGATTACTTTTGTTTATCGCGGGCGCGTACGGCGCCGTTTAACCACGAACGGAGTCACACGATTCGCGCGATGGTGTAATGCGAGGAGGAGGCGGCCGCCGCGCGCTCTGGGGATATAACTATGTCGGCCGACTGGCTCTTAGGCACTGTGTACACCTGGCCGCGCGTATGCCTCTTCCTCGAGCGACCGAAGACGTCTGCCGGAGGGGACCGAGGCCGCTGCCGTCTAAGGAGGACAGAACGGTACGCACAATTCGATCGCCGGTACAACACCATTGAAAACACACCGCTCTCTCTCGCTCCTTCGCTCTTTCTGCCTCCCCCCACCTCCCCCTACCTCGTTTCCTCATCATATCTCTCCCTCCCTCTTTCTCTTTCTCTTGATCGACTACCTTCCCCCGTCCAGAACTCTCCGTGCTACCCCCCTTTTTCGTTTCTACGTTTCTCGGCGGATCAGTGAAGTCATGCCACTTTAAGGTGTCAAGAGCGGCGAACTCGGTTGACAGCGGTCCCTGAACCTGCTGCCGCCCACCTACTACGGGATCTTTCGCGTACGCGCCTTCGAGAGGGTCTATTTCGCGCGATGACACTTACATTATGTCCCGGGTAAGCCGGCCGTGACACTTTAGCCGTTAAGTCATACGCTGACAAGGATTTACTAGCCCCTCGACCAACCTCTTATGCTCTCTCAGAATACGCACGGCCTCCCGTGATCGTTTATTTAATATGCTCTCTTTCGCGCGTTGTCAGTCGAGACGCCGGGTGGAAAGAGGGGGAAGGCAGATCTGACAGGTGAGGAACTAAACACGTTCTTTACGCACGGTAATGGCTCCGTGCAATCGCACGAGATAACACGGCACGTCCCTCAGGCTGATTCGGTGGATGGGTCTCGCCCAATTCTTCCGTAACATAACGGAGGTGCGAGAGAGCGGTCGCCTCGGGGCCCGGCGAGTCCGCCACGAAATGAATTCGTCGGACGGCGCGCTTCCGCCAGCAGCGTGAGAGCGGCACCGTTTCTGCACTCGCGAGTGATGAGCGACCGCGTGCTCGCTCGTGTTACGGACCACACGTGGGGTGGCAGGGAAGGAGTTGGATTTTTCACGGAGGATACAGACATGAGGGCCCGCTGATCCACGTCGGGGACCGGCACGCGTGGTGCACACCCGAGTAGCGAGAATAATTTACTCGCTGCGAGGAACGCGACGGAGTAAACGGACGGAGGAGATATTCTCTCTCTCTCTCTGTCATTAGTCGGTTGCGGTCGTGGAGGACTCGTGAAATGAGCCGATGATGCGTGTCGGGTAAATAGTAATTATGTCGCGAGAACGTACGCATACCGAGAGCGTTTCTCCTCTGAAGCGGAGTCGTTCATCCGCGCGCGCGCGCGCGGAGGGAGAGTAAGAGGCAGGACGCGCGCGAATATAGCGTAGAGGCGAGGAAGGGGTTTCAAAGAGAGCAAAATTGAATGTTCACGTGTGAACAACGCGACCCAGGGTATCGGTGTCTCTCCGCGGGAACACTCGGACCATCCGACGGAGTGCTTCCAGCGCGGAACGCCGGAGAGGGACGGCGAGAGAAGACGGAAAGAAGGAACGTAAGAAAGAAAGAAAGGCAGCCCCGGCGGGGAGGGGGCAGAGAGAACGGCCGGGGAGAGAGAAAGAAGGAGGGAGGGAGGGGGAACGCTCGGTACCAGGTGCCTGTACCATCGCGTCACCATGGCGGAGTAACGGTGCCTGGATGTCCCATCGGGTTCAATCGCAATCGGCAATCTCTCGCGGCGCGGAATTTCGCAGGGAAACGACCGCGCTTCGTCGTGGCCGGCCGCTATCCGTCCGCCCTTGAGCACCGATCGACCCAATGGCCCCTTCGCCTTCGCGCTGGCCCACAATTCGGCGGGTCCGCTCGCTCGCGAACTCCCAGCGCGAATAAAGAGGCCAACGACAGTGTCTCGCCGACTGTCCCGTTTCACGAACTCGCGCGCGCTCGGGGAAATTGCACGTCCGAGACGACGAAGCGGCCGGTTCCCGGGGAATCCGCGGAAACGATCGATCATCGCCGGCTATCGAAGAGAGCTCTCTCGGCCGGCGAACTCGGCCTCGCGCGAACGTTCTTCGAGCGTTCTCGCGCGAACGCGCTCACCCGGTACTATGTGTAACGTTCCGCCGGTTATTAACGCGCCGATATTAGTTATTACTAATAAAGACACCGCGACGGTCGGCGATACGTGTAAGGGGAACGATCACACGGCACGATAAGATAATTACCAGCAGCAATCGGCGGCAATAGCGTCAATGCCGCGCGCGTATTGTGGGTCTCTCACGCGCGCGCGCACGGCAGCTCGTCGCGTTGCGCGCCGGCTACGTGCATCAACTTGTATCAACCGGGCCCCCGGATGGGCCCGAGCGATCCTTATGGAAATTAAACGGATAACCAGCACTTATTCCTCTTGGGTTTGTTGCGCCGGGCGTTGCTGAAACACCGGTCGATTACCGGGCGTCCGCCGTTTTCTCGTCTACTCTCCACACGCGCACACACGCACGCCGGCGTGTCGTGAGAACCCACCAGGCCGATCGGCCAATTAGAATATGCTTCCTCGGTCAGCTGCCAAATGTGCTACGGGGTTACGACAAGGTGAATCACGAGCGAGTGAGCGAGCGAGTGACTCGCACCGACCACATTAACGGACACACGACTTATCACATAACGGCGTAAGGCCGTTCTCGATACTCGTTCTCGGTCAAGCGGATTTTCAAAGTTATGCGGAGGG